TAACAACCTGCGCATCACCACAAAACAGAACATTAGTTATGGAATGAGAAAGGCACCAACGCATGGCATCCCGAAGTGCCAATAGTTCAATAAGAAAAGGATCGTGAACTTCCGCGTAGGAACGCCCATAAGCAAAAGAGACAACATTCTGAGATGCGAAGCCAACAAAACCGATGGCACCCCCAAAGGATTCCTTAGTAGCTCCGTCAAAATGAACAAGCATGAATCCAGAAGGAATAGTAGGTGGAGATGAGTTGCGGCAAGCAGACGGTGATGGAAGATGCTGCCGGCGACGTGCAGTCCTTGATTCTTGAGCTGAAAACCATTCCGCAGTTTGACAGTTAAACTGTCGCAGCAAAGAGACCGGGAGGAATTGGATGAGTTCATAAGTAGATGAGCATCTCCCTTTCCAGATCCTCCAGTACAAGAACACCAATCTCGTCACCTCGGCGCGAGATAAGCCTGCATCTAAAAGCAAGAACCTCCAACCTATTGCAACGTGAAGTGAGTTTAAGTGGTGGAATAAATGACCAAAACCTGCTAACTCCCACAATTCAGTCGCGATTCGACATTCCAATAAGCAATGAGATAAGGTTTCATTAGGATGAGAACAAACAGGACATAGAAGTCCCTCACTATCCTCTTCCTCAATGAGCTCTTTATCCCGAAGGACATCTCGCACAGGTAAGAACCCTTTAATTAGCCGCCATAGGAAAAATCGTAATTTCGGAGGAACAGAGAGGGCCCAAAGAGCTTTCCAAGCCCGAGAATCAAAGATAATAGGAGTAGTAGAAAGATTACGCACAAATTCAGAAGCTGCAACATGGTAACCAGATTTAACAGAGTACTCACCTGAAGGTTCGTAATGCCATATAAGTTTATCAGCCATAGGGAGTTGAGGTAGCGGGATCATAAGGATTACCTTAACTGTGGCAGCATCAAAAAGAGACTGCAGTATTTCCATTTTCCAAGTTCCATTCGAGTGATCAATGAGAGAGGAAACCTGTGTAGACGGCAGAACAGCATGGGGCAATAGCTTGGGACGAGAAGGAGGCGTGGTGGGGAGCCAACAATCATTAGTAATGTGGATTTGTGTGCCGGATCCAACGAGCCAGCGGAGACCTTGCAGCAAGAGATCACGCCCAAGCAGTACGCCTTGCCAGGCCCAGGATGGCCGAGCTCCTTGAACAGCCTGCAAAAATGAGGTCTGAGGAAAATATTTAGCTTTATACAGCACAGCTAGAGCACAATCCGGAGAATGGAGGATGCGCCATGCTTGTTTGGCTAGAAGAGCAATATTATTGCTGTCGAAGTCTCGAAATCCGATTCCACCATGGATCTTGGGCCGACACAGCGATCGCCAGGATGCCCATTTCATACCTTCATCTCGATCCTGTTGAGCCCACCAGAACCTCGCCAAATGACCATTAAGTCGTCTACAGGAAGTTGATGGTATGCGGAAACTGAGCATAGCATAGTTCGGCAAAACATTGGCAACGGACTTCAGGAGGGTTTCTTTAGCAGCAAGAGATAGAGCCTTGGATTTCCATTGTTGAAGTCGAGAGACTAGCTTATCTTCAATGAATTGAAAGGTAGCTTGTTTGGACCGAGCGATATGAGTAGGAAGTCCTAAATAGCGATCTTCTAACGTGCTTTCCGCTACTCCCAACAAATTGGTTATGGCTGCTGCATCATCAGAAGAAATATTTCTGCTAAAAGTGACTGATGATTTATGAAGATTGACTTTTTGCCCACTAACCTGTTGATAAGAGGCAAACAAAGAGAGAAGGTTATGACATTCCGGGATTGAAGCTTTGAGAAAAAGATAAGTGTCATCAGCGAAAAATAAATGCGATATCACCGGACATCGCCAATGCACTTTTATCCCATGAAGAAACTGAGCTTGTAAAGATTAATTGGTTGAAAGTTAACAGGTCAAGATTTAGGATCAATTACTACGTCTAAATTCGCTACCCTAACTATTCGTCAAATCTATCCGTTTGTATGGATTATTGGTTAGATATAGATACCTCCTTGACACATTTGCATTTATTTGCAGCACTTGTTGATGTAATCGTAACCAACTGCACATTCGCCTTTTAACCTATAGATCTTAGCTATCGATCGAGCTCGTACGCATCACTAAGTATACCTTCCAAACAATCTCCAAAAAATAAGGATAGTCTGGCTAGAAATCGAATTACGATGTTACATTTAATAAACCTCAAGTTTAGACACCATGACTATGATGAGCACTTGTGACTTCTCCTGTTCGAGTCCACATCCATGTGCGAAGGGGGTGATTACATGTCATTGTACAAATCCACCTTCCAAAAATGTACCATATATGCTCTTTTTAACATCTTTGTAAAAATAAGATAATTTCGTCTTTCTGCAATTGTTACGACATTCCGCCAGTAAACTTCCACTTGTTACAAAAGTTTATCCAAATAACACTCCCTATCTCTTATTATCTTTCAATGCATAATTTGTCACATACTAGTCGATAATTATCCTCCATACTAGCTGATAAGCTAGCAGCTAAAAGCAGGACCAAGTATGGTAAAACTCCAAATATAGAGCTTCTAATTGTTCTATTTTATCAAATATAGATTCCTTTATTTCCAAATTTGCAGGGTTCGAAAACAGCAAAAGAGATAATTTAAGACAACGAAGACCAAGAGCAGGATCAAGACAAAACTCTATACTTAACTGACTCGAATACTAAATCATCACCATGCAGTTGCCTACTTTCATGGCTTCCACCATCATATAAAGATGACGATCCCCCCACTGCTCTAAATCAGCACAAACACCACCATTTCTCGCTAATAAACGTAATAAGTAATAAGCTCCGTCCTGGTTTCGAGTTCTTATAATGCAGTAGATCAGTATCATCTCAAGTAGATTTTACCACAAGGAAATAAGGTAATTTAACAGAGATCAGACAGCAAACCAGGGAAAAAAAAGGGGGTTAAAAAATGGCTGGAGGAGGCTATGTCCCCGACGACGGAGTGAAGCATTTCGAAGGGCGAATCACCGGCTTCTTGCTCATCACCTGCATAGTGGCAACATGTGGAGGTCTCATCTTCGGATATGACATTGGGATTTCTGGAGGGGTGACCTCCATGGATTCGTTCTTGAGCAAGTTCTTCCCTTCCGTGTACAAGAAGGAAAAAGAAGGACACCACGAGAGCATGTACTGCAAATTCGACAGCCATCTCCTCACATTGTTCACCTCTTCTCTTTACCTCGCGGCCCTGATCGCCTCAGCCTTCGCTGCCTATGTTACGAAATCTTTTGGCCGAAAGATCTCGATGCTCTTCGGAGGCGTGGTGTTCCTCGCGGGGTCGATCATCAACGGGGCAGCAGTAGACGTGGCGATGCTCATCGTCGGCCGCTTGCTGCTCGGAGTTGGGGTCGGGTTCGCCAACCAGTCGGTCCCGCTGTATCTCTCCGAGATGGCGCCTTCCCATCTCAGGGGAGCGCTCAACATTGGGTTCCAGATGGCGATCACGATCGGGATCCTGGTCGCCGGTCTGATCAATTTCGCGTTTGCTTCCCAGGTATGGGGATGGAGAGCCTCTTTGGGACTTGCTGCCGTCCCTGCCATCATGATTGCCGTGGGATCCATCTTCCTACCGGACACCCCGAACTCGATCCTGGCTCGAGGCAACCCCGAGAAGGCAAGGGTGATGTTGACGAAGATCCGCGGTACAGAGCAGGTGGATGCGGAGTTCCAGGACCTGGTCGACGCGACCCATGCTGCGGAGAGAGTGGATAACTCGTGGAAGACCATCTTGAAGCCGCAGTACAGACCTCATCTAGCTATTTGCTTCCTCGTCCCATTCTTCCAGCAGCTCACTGGGATCAATGTGATCATGTTCTACGCGCCGGTCCTGTTCAAGACTCTGGGATTCGGCGACGATGCTTCCCTCATGTCGGCTGTCATCACTGGCCTCGTCAATGTCTTCGCCACGTTCCTCTCGATCTTGGCGGTGGACAGGTTGGGGAGGAGGGTTCTGTTCCTGGAAGGCGGCATCCAAATGATTATTAGCCAGGTAAGGCTGACAATCATAATGTTTTTTTCCCCCCCGAACATCATCCACACCATCATTAGAACGTTTCCTCTCTAACATTGTGTGCGTGCTGCAGGTGCTTGTTGCGGTGATGATCGCCAAGGCATTTGGGACAGCAGGAGTCGGGGAGCTAACGAAAGGCGAATCGATGCTTGTGCTCATCTTTATCTGCTTCTACGTGGCGGCATTCGCGTGGTCATGGGGGCCGTTGGGGTGGCTGGTGCCGAGCGAGATCTGCCCGCTGGAGATCCGATCGGCGGGGCAAGCCATCAATGTTGCTGTGAACATGGCCTTCACGTTCATCATCGGCCAGTTCTTCCTCACCATGCTCTGCCACATGAAGTACGGGCTTTTCCTCTTCTTCGCCGCCTGGGTGGTGGTGATGACCCTCTTCATCTTCTTCTTCCTGCCAGAGACCAAGAACGTCCCCATTGAAGAGATGAACAATGTGTGGAAGAAGCACTGGTTCTGGGGAAAGTATATCCCAGATGACGCCGTGGTTGGCACAGCCAGCAAAACCAAGATCAAGGACATGGAGGATTGAAGATGAAGCACGTAGGATTTCAGTGTTTTCTGAGGGGGATCAGGGCTTTGTTTTTTTTTAATAAGGACAAAAAATAGTGAAATGCTCAAGAAAAAAGGACCATCGAGGTAAGGCAGGAGTAGAGTTTGTAGGCGACAGTAGTTTTAGTTTGGGAGCTACTTGTTGCTTGAGCAATAACCCCTGAATTCTGTTTGGGGGATTCTGGAAAGCTGAGTTCCTTTCCTTTCTTAACAAAGACCAAGCAAGCACTAGTTTGTCACTCTGTCTCTGTCTCTCTCTGTTCCGCCATAGACACTACATTTCAACTTGAAAGAAAACCTCCTCAAGAAACGTATCTCAAACAACAAGAACAAGGTTAAGCATTTTAAGCTTTACATTCAAGATTATGGAAGCCACAACCCATTTGAAAACAAGGGGTTCCATTTCATTCAATTATAGCAGCATTTTGACACAGTTATATAGATATCCACAACAAAGAATAGAGCAAAAATTCATTCTTCTGCCACAAGCCAAGTGGGAAGAAAGGACGGGTTTCATCATAAGCTACTACTTGCTATAGCTGTAAGTAAGTTACTATGCAACTGAGATGGAGTCCAAGAGTGAATCGACATACTCTTTGAGCTTCGCCTTTGTAATAGCACCTTCCCTCCGGCTCCCGGCCACTTCCTGTCCGTCCTTGAAGAGCATCAAAGCGGGCAATCCATAGACTTTGTACTCTTCTATTAGCTTTGGATTCGCGTCGTGATCGATCTTCACAACCTTCAATGTGTCAGCATATTCCTGAAGATAAAAAAACCCAAGAGAATCGTCAAGTTCGTATCTTTCTCCATCGAGAGAGAATGGGTTAGTGGCAGTTGGTTAAACGTTGAAGTTGTTCTGTGATGGGTCAAAATCATTCGTATCCTAACAGCCCCAGCCCCCAAGGACCGGACCCTAATCAACCTTAAAGAGTCCCAAAATCCCATAGTTCTCTCTAACAGGGGAGAGAATGAAGATGCAATGAAATGAAAGAAGACCTTAGCGAGCCATTCCATGGCGGGAGAGATCAAGCGACAAGGGCCGCACCAATTAGCAACGAACTCGACGAGGACCGGGCGGTCGGAGCTGAGCACAACCGACGGGAACTCGGCCTCTGTAATCTGGGTAATTGCGGAAGACGAAGAAGAGGCACCGCATCTGACGGTGGAATAGGAGGAGGACGGAAGAACTAGTTTGGGGTTTGGAAATGGGTTACTGCCCAATGACGATGAATAGGACGAGCGCGGCCGCTTGGTGGCGCTGGCAAAACTCCAGTTCTGGCCAGAAGAAGAAAGAAGGGAAGAGGAAATTTGTGGCGGCGACTGAAGGAGAGGAAGAGGAAGGTGGTGTTGGTGGGAAGCGGCGAGAGCTTCCATTGCAGTACCAGTTGGAGAAAGAAAACGAGAGATGCAGGCAGACTCCGTCGGATTAGATGACTGGTAAATTATAACGGAGTTTAAGGAAGAAATAAGAATTTGCCTGCCCAGCCATTTCTCCCGTCAGGTTCGAGTCACCCGTTCCCCTGCCTTAGCTGGCTAGCTCTTGTGTCGTTTTCCGCACCTCTTCCTTGCCTGAAAGGACGTCGACGATGTTTTTTGGCCCAGTAAGGGAGTGTTGATTGTGGAACAAAGTGCACAAGAGATTTGACAAAGCAATAGATGATCTATTCCTTCTCTATATATGGGTAACCACAATGGACACACATTCAACTTGGGACCAAGATAATGAAGATGATCAAGTAATGCACCCATCTAAACCTTCACTTTCAATGTCTGGCATACTAATGGAAGGAATTTTGCCTTCTGCTATGAGATCCCTAATGCTCGACCAAGTCCTGCTGTCTCTCAACAGCTGGATAACTGCATCTCTTGCGATTGCGTGGTTCTTGTCGAGCTTACCCGGGAAACTTCCCTCATCAGCCATCTCCTTCACCATTTCCAAAGCCGAAGGATGGTTCAGTTCGGCAAGGAAAGCGCTTATCAACGCTGTGTACACATAACCATCTGGTTTCATCCCTCTCGACTTCATCTCCCGCAAATGCACCGCAGCCTCATTGGTCCTTCCGCACTTGCAGAGACCATGAACGAGAGCCATGAAAGCAATGTTGCCAGGAACCAAGCCCTTCACCGCAACCATCTCGTTCCACACTGCGAGAGCTTCCTCCGGTCTTCCAGCGTTGCACAGTCCATTCACGAGAGTGGTATAAGTGATCACATTGGGCTCCCTCCCTTTATCAAACATTTCAGAGAGGCAGCGCATGGCAGCCTCGACAGAACCGTTCTTGCACCACCCATCTATGAGTGAGTTGTAGGTAACTACTGATGGAACGAGCCCTTTCGTTATCATCTCGTTAAGAAGTTCCTCGGCTTCTGCAACTCTCCTGACCTGACAAAGTCCTTTCATCATCGTGTTGTAAGCAACCACATCAGGGTAGTTACCTCGAGCAACAATGTCTCGAAACAGCTCCATAGCCAGATCCACCTCCTTAATCCTGATCAATCCATCCAATGCGGCTGAGTAAGCGATCATATCAGGTACAAAACCTTCCTCAACCACATCGTCAAGGAACTTGCAAGCTTCTACTGCCTTCCTATGCTTGCAGAGTTCCTTCACCATTAAGGTACAGTGTTTTATCCAGGGGTCGTGCCCATGAACTCGCATCTTTTTCACCAGATCGAGAGCTCCTGCGACGTCCATTCTTTTGCATAGGCACCCAAATATTGAGTTATGAGTAAACGGGGATGGTACCAATCCTGATTCCTCCATCTCTCTCAGAATCTCGAAACTTTCCTCCAATCTATCAGAACTGCATAAACCAGATATTAAGTTGTTATAGATCAATAGATTTGGTTTACAGCAAATCTTCTTAGGCATATCTCGAAAGAGACCAACTGCCATGTCCAGCTTACCAGCCTTGACCAGCCCATCGATAACAACACAAAAACTATCAGCATTTGGGTCATTTTCCCAGCAGAACTCATCCCCCTGGAGATCATTATTGCAGCCTTTTTTCATCAACATTCGAAGAAGTCCGTACGCTTTGTTGATCGAACCATTATTAACAAGAACAGTCAATAATGAATTGTAGAGCATAGTCAAAGCTTCCAGATTCATATCTCTACGAATTTCCGTATACAGGCGCTTTAGTTCGCCTTCATCTCTGCAAGAAGATATAAGCTTTGTGATTATGCCAGTATCCGTTTGGACTTTGAACTCCTTCATCTCAGCATACAAACCTAAAGCTTTGTCCAGTTCTTTAGCAGTGCTGAACACTCCAATTAGAACATCGTAGAGAGAAATATCAGGCACAAACCCGGAATCCTTCATCTTATCAAACAATTGGAGAGCCCTGTCCAATCTAGCCTGCTTCACGAAACCATGAATCAAAACGATAAAAGTCTTCTCAGTGACTCCAACATTTCGAGCTTCCATAACCTCAATCAACTCAAACGCCTTGTCCACCTGACCCCACTTTGTAAGACCCAACGCCAGTATGGAGAACAAGTACCCATCAAGAAATCCACGATCAGAAATCATGTTGAAGACATCAAATGCTTTATCGAATCTCCCCGCATTACAATAAACCTGCAGGACTGGGGTCAGAGTATACTTGTCGAGCACAAAGCCACGGTGGGACATCTCCTTCAACTTGGCATCAACCAGATCCACACTAGTCGACTTGGACACAGCCTCAAGCAGGCAATTATAAGCGTAGACGTTGGGGAAGCAAAGACCCTCGCTTTGAACTTGGTCAAACAAGACATTGGCTTCGTCGACCAGCCCAGCACCCCCGAAGCAGCGAATGAAGAAACCCAGAGCCCCAGGGGTCATGGGACACCTGGAGCGGAGGATCTGTACGGACAAGGCTCTGAGTGGGGCAATTTGTCGAGCACGTGATAGGATGGACGCCACGGCATTGAAAGTGTAGGCAGTGTGGCTGTATCCTTGCTGGTTGGATGCCCATGTGAAGAAAATGTGAGCGCGGTTCCAGCTCTGGAAAGAATACAAGACGGTTTCGACGAGCTTGGGGTTGAGGAAGGGGGCAAGTGCGCGGAGGTCGGGATCGTCGTCGGGGGAAGTATTAGGGTTCTTGGTGAAGATGGTGTGGAGCTGATGGGCGAGGTTGGTGTCGGTGTAGATGGGAAGCGAAGAGATGTACCTCCGGAAGACATTGTTATTGCGAGGGAACTGTTTCAATCGGCTTCGGAGGCAGAGGGCCTTCATTTCTCAGCTTGCCCTGGTGCCAATTTCATCGGTTCATTGCACCGGAGCCGGAGCCGGAGTTCCTCCGTCAGCAGAGGGCGTTTCGCAAGTTCACAGAGCCCAGAACTTCCGATTTTATGCTTACCGTTATGATGATGGGCTTCATTGTGTTCGGCCCATCAAATTGGATTTCTTATCCTCCTGATGTGTCGTAGGCGAATTGGGCCTATCCAAATGGTAGATCTATTTTATTTTTAGGCAAAATACACTTGTGTAGCCAAAACTTTCGCATTTGTGACAATAATAGCCACTTTTCGAGAAATACCACTTATAGCCAAAATTTTGAAAGTTTAATGACAAATATAGCCATTTCTGTTACAAACTTTAACGGTGTTAGAAACTCCGTCAGTTAGATTAACGCTATGCTGACTAGGATGCCAAATCATCGCACACATCGGCGACAAATCATCATATCATTGCCACGTCATGTTGAGTTATAAAAACAATTAATTTTAAAATTAAAAAAAATAAAATATTATTTTCTAATTTTTCCCTAGTCCTCGCCTCGAATTTCATCTCACCCCACCGTTCGAGCGTTCTTGGTTCCTCCATCGGCCCACCGACTTCGCTCTCTCCTCCGCGACACTCCGACCACTTCCATGACCCCCAAATCGCTCACAAACCTTGCGCCCTCCTCTCCCTCAAACGATGAAGTGGGAAGATTTGAAGAAGAAATTGAAATCGCCGGCAAATGAAACTCAGTCTCCGCTTCAATCGTCACTCAATCCCACCTTAAATCGCGCTCAATCTCTGAAACATCTGAGCCTTCTTCTCAGAAGCCCAGTTTTGAGGCGAGATTGAGAGCACAGAGAGACGGAGCGTCGACGAGATGGAAGATGCAGGTCTAGGATTTTGGAGGTCTGTGTTGCTTTGGGAGTAACAGAAAGCTCTTGTATCGTCGTCGGGTAACTGTAGTGGCTTCATCGTCGTCGCCGCGCCAGTAATAATTAACCCACAACTGCCGCCCATCGAGTCTCCTCCTACGCCGCCGAGAATGCCGTTTTTACAGCGATTTCCAGATCTAGGATTTGCCCACCAACGCATGGGATGAGGGAAGAGAGACAAACAGATAGAACCATAGCTGATGAGGAGAAACAGGAGACGGATCTGGAGAGATTGGCCGAGGAAGGAGTATCAGATCTGGTTCTTCTAGCTATTGTGGAAGTAGATTCTTCCGGTCCCCACTGGTGCTCTCACAAGCCATCACCTCTGATTCCTCCCCCAAGAACGACCTTAGGTCGCCATTCTACTTACCCGTCGCTCACTTGCGGTCGACTTCAACAGAGGAAATGGGGAGAGGGTTTGAGAGTTGTTGGAGCCGGAGAGTGTTTCGGAGAAAGGGGAATTTGGGCGGCGGTGGATTCTCTTCGTCTTCCCAAAATCCTAACCTCATCTCCTCCTTATCCGAACGAGCCCTATTGAGTAACACCCTCATCTAGAGAGAAGCGGAGAATGATTTTGGTCGGAGTTGGACGGATCTGACGACATGCTTTGAAGGCTAAGAGATGAGTGGTGGGAAGAGATAAGACAGAGCAGTTGGGAGTGTACAAATGAGGGCTTTTAAATTTTAATTTTTTTTCATTTCAATCCACGTGTATATTTACAAACAAAATTGAAGGTAAGAGTTTGCCACGTCAGCATCTCCATTTGCCCAGTCACTCTTAACGTTAACAGCGTTAAAGAATTGGACGGAAGTGGCTATAAGTGGTATTTTATCAAAAGTGGCTATAAGTGGCAAAAACGTGAAAGTTTTGGCTACACAAGTGTATTTTGCCTTATTTTTATGGGTGATTTTGGTGGATGTATTAAGCAGGAAAAAGTTATATATACAAACTACCATCTACTCAAAATTGCCAAAATCCAAAAATATGCTCTCTTATTATAGACTAGCCTAGTGCCCGGCCCGATGGCCGGATGCAGCTGAGTTGAGTAACGTACAATAGTTGGAGATGTAAATTAGGTGTGTAAATTTTTCGGGCACCACGAAAGTGTGAGAATAGGGGATCCCGTTTTTTCATTGTTGCTATTATAGTATGGGTTGTCACAATTCATTTATCTTCTAATTATCCCTTTTTTTCCTTGCATTCGAACAATGTGAGGGTAAATATAGAGTTGGTGTAGAAATGCAGTGCATACGATGAATAAATCAGTTGATTAGGCAAGTGGATGACATACAAAAACGGTGGTTTATGAATCACTTTGAGGATCCGGTGGTTTATGATTAGGCAAGTGGAAGACATACAAAAACAAAATGGAAATTAGGCGTAGTGCATATTGTTTTGCACACGTACCAAGAGCTGAACTAAATGGAAGACATACATGTACTAAAAATCACAGAAGTATATGTTCTTCTAAGTCAGAATATAACTACTACATCGCAATAACAATATAAATGTACTTCTTCTACTACCGAAAAGATGAAATGCACAAAATAACAATGGAATTCATATCTCCTAGTTCTGCCTTCCCTTGATTCCTTCTCAGACAACCAGCCGATTCATCCCTTAGTCTTACCAGCTGAAATAATAACAGAAGTAGAAGCTAATTATTAAATGTAAAGCCTCAGTTGTGTTAATAAATGACAATATTCTCCTGTATTTTAAATAAAAAAGGGAAGACATACCTTCTTGGAATGTAAAATGAGGGTAGTGTTTATAGGTTCAGTTTAAGATCCAGTAATGGTTGAAATGCTTTTGGATGCCAAATTGCAAACATGCGAATCTGTAGTTCAACTTCATATTCTGATCCAATGATGTATACTTCTGCCATGAATTTGATGTTACAGCATTCTTTCAGCAACTGAACTCGCTTGTCATATGGCATTTTTTTAAACTCGATCGGTGGCATACGAAGCAGAGCAAGAGCATGTCCATGCTTAAGAATGACCTTTGGCTTGTGATTTCCTGATTCACATTCAGCCTGCAGTTCATAGAATAATCTGAAGAAATATGTAGATTAGATGCATTTAAACAATGTATAGTAGTTTTATAATAGGGAATCAAAAAGCAAAGGTATTTGGAAATACTCAGTGTCTCCAGGAAAAACTTCACGGGTCACAGAAGCAAGGTCGAATTTGACTATTTTCAATTTGCACCGATAGAGTATCTGTCATATAGTTTGATATAGGAAAAATAGAATTTAGGCGTATTTGAAAACACTGCTACTATTGAAAGTCAATTTGAAACTTATTTATATTTGTCAAATATGCTTACTTGACAAATGTATAACAGAGCATAGAAGGTAATGGTATTTACCTCTATTTCTTCTTCTCCTAAAGGCAGCTTGTTCGTCAATTCTAATAATGAGATTCTGGGCGGAATGTTGCGCCGAAGGTATCCAAGACGCTCTTTTGATTTGTAGTCAATGATATCCACAGGCAGTCTGTTAGGAAAGAACTATAGTGTTTTGGAAGTTAAATTAGACAACTTCTAGGAAAAAACATGCAAAATATATTAAAACTGAACATATAAATATAACAATTTACCTGTTCATTAAATCTTTGGTCATCTCATTGTACGAATGTACTATAAGACGACTGCCCGGAGATGTTACGAAACAGAACTGTGGAATATGGTCAAATTCGTGCATGTTTCGGGTGAGAGCTGTTGCTGTCACAACCAGAGGATAATGAACTTCTTTGACAGTAGCACTTTCAATGAAATCTTTAATTCTTGTGCCAATATAGCTCACAAGTCCTTTGTTTCCACTAAAAAGTTGGAAAACGGAGTATAAGTATGATTATAGACTAATCTTGATTCAGTAAGACATTATAGTAACTAATTATAAGTGGTACCTCATATCTTCAAGATAAATCTGGAACATAGATATATCATAATTAACTTTATCTGGTTCGGTGATATGCGTTACACATCCTGTAATATCTGAAATATGAAAATGTTTTAGTTGTTTTGTTCTATGTGATCTTTGGAATATACAATATTCAGCACATCAATTTCTAATACAATCTGTTGAAATCAGTGGGTTAAGTATAAACAATGAATACCTGAGAAGCAAGGTGGAAGACTTGTTGAAGAACCACTGCCATTGAAAGGACTTTGAAAAAAACAATCATATGGAAAATGCATTGTGCTCCGATATTCAATCATTGCTTTCAATGAAGATTCCTTTGTAAAATACAACCTCAAATTGGAAGGTGCAGTGCGGCGTTCAGATCTAGCTGGCATGACAGTTGGATTCATCATGGTATAGAGACAACCAATCTCAATGTCTTTACAAATATGAGCAGAATCTTCATGGGGTACATTTGCTTCCATAAGTTGTCCCTAAAGGAGTTAAAATGTTACAGATGAGCTAAAACTAACTGTTATGTGATAAGAGTAAAACCAGTAGGTCTTTAATGTTTATAAATATACCTCTTTATCTAACCAAAGCATATGCATTGAGGTAATAGATCTAGTTCCATCTGACTCAGATTCTGACCACATGTTTAACAGTCTAGCCATGAGGAAATGGTTGCTTGTACCAAGACGAAGTTCACAAAAGGGTGTGGATTCAGCCATTACATCTAAAAGCAAAAGGGAAACTGAGTCAATACATCTAAAAGCATTTGGACACACCTCTTTTCAACTAATTGTAAGATACCATGTGGGTCTTGCGGCAACATTTTCCCTTCTGTTTTTGCCCAAAATAGCAGATCGGGTTGTGATAGAGTTTTGGGACAGCAATAACTTCTTGCTCGAACTGTGAAAGAAGACAAAATGAGAAAATCAAAGGAAAAAAGAAATAGAATGAATAGAATGAATATGTACTACTTGCCTGTATGTAGATTCCCTATGAGGTCAGATGTGGGAGATGGGGGACCAGCACGGCTGCAGCTGCGGGGTATTTAATCTAGGGTTTCTCTTTCGACAAAACCAGCAGGCAAAGGAGAAAAACAGCAGCAGCTGTTTTACTTTCCCAAACAGTATCACTTTCAGCTGATGGAGGTGTTTTTATATGGC